CTTGAAGGAATGCAAGTAAGTCTTCAGGTAAAGGCTCAGGTTCATCAGGATTAGTAAGATCTTGTGAATTGTTAGATTGTATATGTTGAGTTTGTTGATAAAAAAGGTCCTTATAGAATATATATTATATCATTTAAATTTAGCAGTAAATAATCTTATTAGTTCTTTAGCTGCTTTTGTAAATCAAATCTATATAATTGTAATTATGATAAGATCTTATAAAAACTACAGAAAACTTGCAAAAGTAATATCTTTAAAACCTAAATTAAATAATGCAACTCACTAGATAAGTATATTAAAAATGGTTAAACAATATAAAAAACTTATTTCTTATATTACTCAAGCTAATAAAATTTTGAGTATATTTATTTTTATTTATTTTTTATTTTTATAATTTTTTATACCTCTGCAATGTTGTAAACAGGCAGATTTTTATTAGATATTTTAATAGTATATTCTTGGTTAATAAGAGTATATTTAGCCATATGTGCAACTTTTGGTTGCCTATTTAAGTAGTTTGTCTGAATGTTCTACACTAGTGCTATATCTGTAACCTAACTAAAAGATTATCTATTTAAACACTCTGATGTTCTTCATCCTGCACTACTATTACAATCATACTGACCTATAACCTTGTGTTGCTTTAATTAAAGATCACTTAAATCGATATGTACTATATTACTTATAACCTAATTCTATAGATAACCTAATAAGATTCTTATACTACTGGATACTCTAGAAGAGAGTAACACATACTTCTAATTTTTTTATATCACATGCATTTTCAGATTAGACTTTGAATATCTTAACTGTTAAACTGCACAATTCTAGTATTTGTGCTCTTACAAGATTTATTTAATTCTAATTTTTATATCAAACTGGTCCTTATACTGATCTCTTCCAAACTACTAAACTAGTTAGCCCAGATAGATTATTGTACTTAGGCTTTAAGTACCTTCTGGTTTTACTTTCTTTAGTTTTTAATTCTATAATATAGAACCTTTTCCTCTGATATGATTCCAGTGGCCAGGTTGGTAGATCCTTTTTGCTTTAGTGTTTTCATCTGGATCTTTAGTCTCTGGTTTTGACTTTCTGCAATATCATCAACAATTTTCACTACTTCTTTGCTTGGATCTTGCTAAACAGGTTTTAATTATTTCAGTTTCTTGAATTTAGATCACCTACAAGCTTTTATTTTAGAATATTAATACCAAGATTACAGATGATATACCCAACTGATCATTGTATAAATATTACTAATATACAGACCTATTTTCTAAAAATACCTCTAGTGAGATTCAAACTCTAGACCTGCCACTTAGAGATAACAACTTAACTACTACTCTAAGTCACTACACCCTTTTTTTTATATTTTATTAATCATCTTAAATACTTTTCTGAAGCACAAAGAATTGCAAAATGAATCAATAAATCTTAATGATGTACATGCTTATTTTGACTTGTTGATTGAAAAATTTTCAGAATTGGAAACTAGATTAGGAAAAAATGCATCAATAATCTATGATTCTCTTTTTGAAATAGCTATAGTTAAAGTTTTATGCAAGCAAAAAACTATATTAATGTTAAAGATTTTAAGCATTTATTGTAAAACAAAATATATAACCAGTAATAAAAGAACCTATAACTATAAAAGAACAAGTTGCAAAAAAGTGCAAACTAAATGAATCAATACTTAGATATGAATATTGTACCTCCCACATCCAATGCCATAGAATAGTTGTTTTCAATTGTTAAATACTATTATACAGATTGAAGAAAGTTTCTTGATCTATATACTTTGAAAAATCTTTTGCTTTTAAGAATAAATGACAAAATGTAATCCATTCAAGATGTTAACCAAATTAAATAATAAGTTTTTACTACCAAATAAAATGAATACAGATTCATGTTTTATATAGGTTAACTAACTCTTGTTATATTAATATTTATTAATTTTTAGTTTAGCACAACAATGTATAACAAACAATTCAATTAATTTAAAGTATTATTTATACAATTACAGTATATGATATAAAATACTTAAAAAATTATATTACACAAGATATTGTACGCATGCAGGAGTATAGTGAAATTGAATTTAATTGCAATTTATTGCAATTAGTTTGTCATTAATTGGGTATAAATTAATTTTGTTACATGTATATATAATTGCAATCAATTAAAATTATCATGAAATTGATTGCAATTAATTTTCGGTAGGCCTGAAATAGATTGTAGATCAACTACCGAATTTTATATGATATCATATAATTTACATGTAAACATCATATGATTTGACCAATCAGAAGAGAAATTTCTTTGTACTATCTAAGAAAAACATATAGCGACCTAATTATATGTGAAGTTGGTTTTTCTAAAAGCAATGCATATTGCGCAACTTCAAGATCATAAATAAACTGTTTAAATTACATATTATATAAATTTTATACAAATTGGTTAAGATATTAAAAGGTTTTATTAGAAGCATTTTTTGATTTACTATATAAAAATCTAATATACCACGTAGATCATATGAAAAATGATCTACATACACCCTACCCTTAACCGAAAATTTTTTCCCGAACCGAACCTGATCCGTTCCGTTCGTTGCATTACCTATGAGTTATCATTCACTATAAAATAATTCCCGTAGCAAAGCCACAGGTAATTAAGCTAATTTACTTCATTGCAATCCGTTCTATTTTAGTGGACGGATGAGATGGCTTAGAACGGAACCACATTGGGAGCTTTTATTGTCACAATCTTATGCCATGCATGTTATTTTATGAAAAGAATATGCTTGTAGTTAGATGTATTATGTGTAAAGTAACACGATCGGTCGCGGATCGTAGAAATCGGATTAAAGAGGTTTCTATTTGCCCCCCCTAAAACATATTTACACTTATTTAATATAAAACCTATCCCCAAACCTTGATCTTAAAAAAATGCTAAAAAAGTGCACTCAAAAATTTGTATTTTTCGGTAGCTTGTTTATTTACACTATCTCATTTCATTTTAATCTGATTTCATTTTAGTCCGTCACAGTTACTGCGTAAAAACTATCTTTGATAAAAAGGTTTCCTTAAGCGATTTTACTATAAAATCTGTTAACACCTAACCCTAATATAAACGTTATCCTTATCATTAATGAATTTTAAAATTTTGCCTGCGCCACAATCTGCATGCCCAATTAGTGGAATGTAATATCTGTCATCTATTTAGCGATTTACAGTAAACCAAACTTGGATGAAACTAAATCTCCTGTATTACCATAGTACAAGTGTAAATGTCAATAATTGTTTACTATATAAACTTCCAAAGTTTTTATCTGGACAAAGGAATTTTTACACCTGCTTAGATTATGATACAGAAACTGAAAAGTTATAGAATATGGATATTAATACTCTTATGTTTTTTAGCAATCACATCCATCTTATTCATATGGTACGATACAAGTGTTTTATTTTTTCCTAGCATTAAAGAAACTGAACAGCCTTTAATGGATATTTTTAACGGCTCTGAAAATGCTTTGAATGATACCTTTGAATCTATTGACTTATCTAATAATCAAACCATTGACTTTAATAAAACTCTTGAATTTAATAAAACTCTTGAATTTAACAAAACCCTTGACCTCAATAAAACCCTTGACCTTAATAAAACCCTTGACCTTAATAAAACCCTTGAATTTAATTCAACCCTTGACTTTAATAAAACCCTTGACTTTAATAAAACCCTTGGCTTTAAGCATATATATGTTATTAACCTTTCATATCGAACAGACAGGCGTGAAAAAAATGGAAGCAATTGCGAATAAACTTGGCTTAAATTTTGAATTTTTTGAAGCCATTTCCAGTGATAATGACGAAATTCTAAACCAGGTTAAATCTACAAACCTTACTTCTCGACACAAAGCTTGTTATGTAAGCCATTACAAAGTATATGAATCAATTGTCTATAATGGATACAGCGATGTTTTGATTTTAGAAGATGATGTTGATATTGAAATGGATATTATATCAATTATGAATGAAATTTTCCATATTTTACCCACTGACTGGGAAATGTTATATATTGGACATTGTGCTCAAGAGGATATTGGTGAATTTATAGCCGAAACAACTTCTAACTTTAAATTATACAAATCTACAAGACCGCCTTGTTTACATGCCTATGGCATCACATCTTCCGGTGCTCGCAAGCTTCTAAAAGAACTTATCAACCCATCAGAGCCGATTGATGTAGAGATAATCCGGAAGATTACCTCAGGGATCATTACTTCATATAGTTTGGAACCAAAAGCCATCGTACAATGGAAATCTAGCGATAATCCATCAGATGTCTCTCCTGGCGACTTTCAGTGGACATATCCTTTAAAAAATTCTACTTTACATTCCCTTGGATATAAAGAAACATGACGACATACATTTTTTTTTTTTATAAAATCATCTATTGAGAAATTTTGAATCCAAATCTTTCAATATAAAATGTCTAAAGGTATCGGTATTCAGACGTTTAAAATTTTGTTATTTGGATTTTTAAATAAAATAATTAATAGCAGTGTTTGCCATTTAGGACATATTTAAATTTACATGACTATGGTCATAAAGCAATAGTAAATTTTATAAGTCATAAAAAGTCATAAGGACATAACCTATAATTAGACAATAGGTCATAACAATCGTTAGCCCAACACTGATTAATAGTGTACGCTATTCATTTTCACATCTATATAAACTAATAAAATTCTCTAAAAATGCATCCCTTTTATTTATAAAGGACCTGTATTAATAACTATGCAACAATAAAATTCGAAAACGATATAAATAACTGCTTAAGACTTTAGTATTCTTAATAGTGGGTGTGCTTCAGTATTAAATATATATGTATCTAATGAAATAGTGTCTGGCGGACTAAACAATAAATATAAATATTTTAAAGTTTCCGCAAAAAAAAAACTAAAAAAAGAAACCAATTATTATACTTGTATTATTTACAATTGAAATTTTAAAAATAAATTTATACCTTTCCATTTCATTATTTTTTTGTCCTTCTGCCGAATTTACATCCTTAAGCCCGGAATATCCTGCCGGAGTTTCGCACCATTTGACAATAGACTTAATATAATAATAGCGAAATTAAACAAAAGAAAAGTAAAACCACAAGTATCTTGAAAAAATTGTAAACCAAAATATTACCTGCCATATTTCCCATCCTTTCTCTTGATACGTTTTATTGCCTGTTATCCTATATAAAATAAATAGACTCTCTATAGTTTCTACCAAAAAAACCAGTCAGATAAGAATGTATAGGTCAAATGATATGCGGAGAGGTTTTAGTTAAGTGTAAACACCTGGTCTCAAATAATATTTAGTGTCCATTTTATATACATCAACTGGAAGGTTTTCAGTTTCATGCTGAGTTTTTGATTGTGTATCGTTAGTCAAGACCCACATTATTTCAGGTGCAATTTTAGTATGAGTTGATATATATGCCCAATAGCATGTTTCTGCTAGCCTTATAGCGATTTCAAGGTCTTGAGGACGGTTAAGAACTTTAGCGCCTATACCAAGCATTCCTGGAACAAAACATCCCTGATGAATTATAGAATAGTACAAATTAAATATAAATTTTGAATTATATTATAGGTTTAACAAATTTACCAAATGTTCAAATGCTCCAGAAAAAACGTTATCAGATAATTCGCCTAAGATTAGACGGTGTTCCGCTAGGCTTTCTTTAATTAACCATTTTTTCATGCTTTCAATAGATTCAACATCTGAAATATAATTAGATAAGAATAAAGTGACCAATACAGGATTTAGCTGCTTAAAACGAGTACATACACATTCTCCGGTATTGATCGAATGCGCCTCCAATATATATATACACTTTGATCAAATATTCATAGAAACTATCACCACCTCCTCCAAATTTAATGTAACCTAAAATGTTTGTTAGTATATTTGTAATGTAAGCACAATTAATGCAGATGCATTTTAACTTACGTACTTCCAATGAATTCAGCGGTTTCTGAGTCGATAAATATAAATAAATAATTAAGTTGATACATAATTTAAAAAAATATTAAAAAATCACACCTTGATCAATATCAAGGGGATATAATCCAGGAATTGGCTTATTCATTTTGTCAAGAATGTCAATTATATGTTGCGCCTTTATAATCCATAAATAAATTATTTTAATTAGTAATGATTTTTATCTAAAGGATAGAATTAAGTTGCAATAGTAGATTCATTTACTTTAAAAAAAAATTTGCTATCTCCCGTAAGTTGTGATAATTTCATAAACTCCAATTGCATGGTACCAACTTCGGCCAACCGAACCCTATTATTTTGCATGGGAATTCCGCCTCTAAGAATAACAAAATTAGCTCAAAGTAATTATATTTTATTACCATTTAAATAAAATAATCATACTTATTAGGATCTAGTAAATTATATGGCAATCCAATCAAACTATCGAATGCTGGTAATAAAGCGTTACCTAATTCATATGCTTTGTCTAAAAATATTTTATCCTGAGAAAGTTCATATGCACTCAATAATCCACCTAAATATCGGATTATGGTTTCAAACACATTGATATTATTGGTAGTCTTTGTAAAATTCAAATTTTTAACGAAATCTCTTGATTGATTAAATTCTGCTTTTAAACCCATAATCCACATCGTATCCAATGCATCAATTATTGTCACACCCCAGCCATTAAAATTATTTTTGCTTGAATTCGTCACAGGCTGTAACATATCATATCCCCATGCATATGTTGAATATCCGTTCCAAGCATGAAGGAATCCATTTTTTATGGAATTACGACGAAATTCATTTAACAATTGTTCTTCTGTAGTTTCACTAGCAGGGAAATTGTATTGAATTTTAGGAAGATGAGAAACATTAGGAAGAAATGCTTCTGATCCAAGATTATGTAAGATCGAATCATTAGACCACTTAAAAGGATGTTTCTGCCACTTTATGCCAAAAATTCGATACGTTAACAATCCAACAATGATAATAAAAATAACGATAAATTGAAAAGAAATTAATATCCGTCTTTTGCCTTGAAACATTTCTATTTTTTTGAATGTTTTGAATGCCATGACAAAAACAAATAACCATTTATATTCAGAAAAATTCGACTTATAATTGATTGACAGTTGTAGCACAGCATTTATTCAGGAATGGTTGTACAGTATCATAACGATAAGAAAATATTCATTCGATTGGCCACTTTACAAAGGTTTTGGATTCCTTGTTACAGTATTTGCGATGTTTATCAATCCTAAATTTCAAGAAAATTTAACTTTAGGCTAGTGATTTGAACCGGATAACAAAAATCATCAATCGATTAACCGACCAAGCCATAATAATAACCGGATCATCAGTAATTATTTGGTTACAGATGTTATCATAAATTCTGTGCTTAAAAAATTTACCGAATGATTTTTCGATCAATTCGATTAAGTTTATGTTTTCAGCATAATTGAAATATATAATTTAGGATTCGGTGACTAATATCTCTGGTGGGTACGTATCACCTCATAGACAATAATTTTATAGGCGTCTTTATATTTTGTTTCTTGCTAAGGTTATTTGTTGATAAGAACTGCCTTTCTAAACGCCAAATATGTATAGTACAAGCATTCGATCGAAAATTATATAACGACTAAACTTAATCGAAAAATCATTCGGCAGAATTTTTATTAGGTGTCCCAATCACTGGTCGCCTTGTACGTACAGGCACTTTGAAAAGATTGCTGACTGTGACACACTGTGTGACAAATAGATGACATCCATATCAATCGATATCCAGATTGCCAAATCCGGTAACAATATATTTATTGTCGTGGATCATAATTAAAATGAAATTTGAGGCTTCTATTTGGCCGTCTAAACCCATTTGTACCTGTTTATTGTAAATTCAACTCCTAACGCTGATCTCTAACCCTAAAAAAAAAGCTAAAAGATGCATTCCTAAAAATTGTATTCTTCGGTGCCTATTAATTTGTATTATATATGAATAGCAAGTGTTTTAAAATATATGTTTATATTGTTCCAAAAGTTTTTTTATTGTTTTTTTTTAAAACAAATATAAAAATCATATTTTACAATAATTACAAAACAATTGCATAAGGTCTGTAAGAATAAGAGTTACTATAGGTACATAATAAATATTGTTGATGAAAATAAATATTATTGATGAACCTAAAATTATCTAATCAGATATAATAATATGTTTCGGTTTCAACTATTAGCCGTCACAATCACATATGTATTGAAATATATTTAAAAGGCGAAATTCTATTTTATTACTTTAGGTGCAAAATAAATATTATTGATAAAATTAAAATTATCCAATCAGGTATAATAGTAGGCTTCGGTTTCAGCTATTAAACGTCACAATCACCAATGTCTTAAAACATGACTAAAACAATTTAAAATGCGAAATTCTATTTTGATCTGGGTTATTTCAGTCCATTATGTGACCTTGTGGCTAGGGTCGTTAGTGGTAACCTACCGTGGTAAGTTACCATAAAATTACTATTTTTTGGTATAATACCTTATAGTAACTTACCATGGTAACTTACGGTAACTTACAGGTACTTACCAGTAACAGTAATTTTATAAACCTAATGTTACCAAAGCGAAAATTTTCTGCGACAGTTGATTTTATTTCATCACTGATTTGGAATTCTGAAGAATAATAAAGTAGTTCAGTCATAATATAATCCCTTCAATACTACAGACAAACTATCAAATTTGTACTAATTGAAAGTGCAAATTAAGATGAACGCGTATTGATCATGATAGTATTTACATTAGCGGCGACAAACTTTGCAGACTGATCAAAATTTAGATTCAGAGTTCATAAAAGCGAGGCCAACATTAAGCAATAATATTAGCAAACCATATTACGGCAATTTATCATCTGGGAAACTTTATTTAATGCAATTACTAATATCATTTCTGATGGATTTTGCCCAAAATTTTGGTTTATCTGCTGAATTGTTGATTAAGTTGACCTATCAACAAATCACATGATGTGTTAAAATAATCAAAATAGACAGTGACCGACACTCATTTTGTAGACGTAACACTAGCTCTCAAACCCGGGCGATGCCCCGGGGGCGCGTTCTCAATTTTTTAGTTTTTATTTATTTTTAATTTATATTATTTAATTTATTAATATATAAATTTTGAATTGATTTTATGTTTT